AGGTAGATAGGCAGATAGATAGATAGATAGATAGGCAAGTAGACAGACAGACCGACAGACAGACAGACAGACAGACAGACAGACAGATAGACAGAGAAACAAGGTTAGATAGGTTCCAAAGGTCAGAAAGGTTGGACAGGTCAGATAGGTTGGATACAGAGATAGGTTAGATACGGAAGACATGGGTTAGACAGATTAGACAGATTAGATAGGATAGACAGATTAGGAAGATAAGATAGATACGATAGATACGATGGGTGTAGATGTAGACGTAGACTAGATGCGGATATAGATGTAGATATAGATAGATACAATGGATAGGAATGTTGATGTAGATATGGCTACGGATATGGGTATAGATTGGGATACAGGTATAGATACGGATATAGCTATAGATATAGATACGGATGTAGATATAGATTTAGATTTAGATATCAATACAGACATAGATATAGATGTAGATATAGATATAGATAAGGACGTAAATATAGATCTGGATGAATGAAAGGGTTTAGGGCTTAGGCAACTTAAGTTAATTTCCTTAACCCTAAGCCCTAAACCCTAAACCCTATAACCGCTCCAGTCCTGTGGGCTGACCGCCCACCGAATCGTGCACTGCGTTGTTGATGAGGACGTGCTTAAAGTTTCCAAGGCCTCAGAGAGCTTAGGAGGTCGTTTTGAGGTGTTTTGGGGCTTGGATTGGGGGGGGATGGGGGGTAAGGGGTTTAGGGTTTAGAGGTTTAGGGGTTCAGGGGTTTAGGGTTTAGGATTTAGGGGCTTAGGGTTCAGGAGTTTAGGGGTCTAGTGGGGATCAGGAATTGGACGCAGAAGCGGCATCCAGGGCAGCTGCCGCACTTGCCAATCGTTGCGAAGCAGCCCATGTGCATTAGGGCCTCAGCGAACGAGCCATGAGGGTCCAGGGTTTTTGGGGTTTGGGGTTAGGCTCCGATCTACCCGAATCGCAGATTTGGACTGGTGTGTAGGTCCCCCGCCGCGCCATCCCCGTCGATGCATAGAACTTCCTGCTGTGGCCGGGCGAGTGCCACACCTTCATCAGAATTGTCTCGAGTTCGTAGATCTATTGGTGCTTCCAGTAGCGGTCGTAGCAGCAGTGGTATTTGTAGTGGCATGCGTATCCCTTCTTGCACTCCCAACTCGTATTCGTGTTCGTATAATTCGCATATTCAGTCGGCGTCGTCGTGGCCGTGGTCTTCGTCCTGGTCTTGGTCTTTCTCGTCCTCGTCCTCGTCCTGTATGTATATACCTTTCTATGTATGCACGTATGCATGTATGTATGTAAAAACGTATGTGTAGTACATGTGTACATGTTTGTATATATATATACATAAATATGTATATATATATATACATATCTATGCATGCATACGCACACGCACACTTTCGCACCTGGAGGTTTTCACGCAGAACTGCACTTGCATGCCTTCGTTTACACCGGCATCCTCATCAGAAGCCGCCGTCGTTCTCACTGCGAGGCCCTAAACCTAAACCCTCAACCCTAAACCCCTAAACCCTAAACCCTACCCTACACCTTAAACCCTAAGCCCCAAACCCTAAACCCGAAGCCCCTAAACCCCTAAACCCTAAGCCCTAAACCCCTAAATCCTAAGCCCTAAATACCCCTAAGCCCTAAACCCTCTCACTGCAAGGCCAAGTTCCCGGCCCAAGGCTATGGAGGAGCAGTGCCCCATGCTGCCGACCTCGTGGTCTCAGGTTTCGGGCTTAGGTTTTTAGGCAATTTAGGGGTTTCAGGGGTTTAGGCAATTTAGCGGTTTAGGCAATTTAGGGTGTTTGGGGGTTTAGGCAATTTAGGGGTTTTGGGCTTTAGGGGTTTAGGGGTTTAGGGGTTAGGATGTGGGGTTTGGGGGTTAGGGGTTAGGGCTTAGGGTTTAGGGGTTAGGGTTTAGGGTTTAGGGTTAAGGAAGCTAGTCTTCAGCGACCATAGTAAGGAAGCTTATTATGGTAACCCGATGTAAAGTCGTCAACAAGACTTGGTGTTCAGGGTGTGGAGAGATTTGAGATGGAGGATTGGGAAGATTGACTTTAGGGGTTTAGATCCTATCTGCCCTATGCCCTATGCCCTAAACCCTAAACCCTTAACCCTTAAACCCTAACCCCTAAACCCTAAACCCTAAACCCCTAAACCCCGAAACCCTTAAACCCCTGAACCCCGAAACCCCTGCACCCCTAAACCCGTAAACCCTAAACCCTCAGCTGAGGCATCTGCTGTGAGGAAGTCGTGGCCATGCGACTGGCCTTGAGGCTGCGAGGCGATCTCGGGTTCAGGGCTTACGGGCTTTTCGGGGGTATAGGGCTTAGGGTTTAAGGTTTAGGGTTTGGGGTTTACGGGTTTGGGTTAGGGGTTCAGGGTTTAGGGTTGCTGGGTTTAGGGTCTCGGGCTTAGGGCTTAGGGTCCCCAGGTTTGAGGCTTTGGGTTTAAGGTTTAGGGTTGCTGGGTTTAGGGTTCCTGGGTTTAGGGCTTAGGGCTTGGGGCTTAGGGTTCAGAGCTTAGGGTTAAGGGGTTCGGTGTGGGCTTAGGGCTTGTTCGGCCTTTCTGCACTCGGAGTTCGAACATCTCCCTGGAGGTGAAGCCGGTTGTGGTGACCTGCAGCTGCCCGTCTTAGGGTCCCTTCTGAGGTCCTCAAAAAATTCTATGAGGGTTTCTCTGGAGCTTCTATAAGGGTACTACAAGGGTTCTATTTGGGTAGTTCTCTAAAGTAGGTCCGTCTAAACCCTAAGCCCTAAACCCCTAAATTGCCTAAGCCCTAAGCCCCAAACCCCTAAATTGCCTAAACCCTAAGCCCTAAACCCCTAAATTGCCTAAACCCTAAGCCCTAAACCCCTGCATTGCCTAAACCCTAAGCCCTAAACCCTAAGCCCTAAACCCCTAAATTGCCTAAACCCTAAGCCCTAAACCCCTAAATTTTTCTAAGCCCTAAGCCCTAAACCCCTAAATTGCCCAAACCCTAAGCCCTAAACCCCTAAATTTTTCTAAACCCTAAGCCCCAAACCCTTAAATTGCCTAAACCCTAAGCTCAAAACCCCTAAATTGCCTAAGCCCTAAGCCCTAAGCCCCTAAATTTTTCTAAACCCTAAGCCCTAAACCCCTAAATTGCCTAAACCCTAAGCCCTAAACCCCTGAATTGCCTAAACCCTAAATCCAAAACCCCTAAATTGTCTAAACCCTAAGCCCTAAACCCCTAAATTTGTCCAAACCCTAAGCCCCAAACCCCTGAATTGCCTAAACCCTAAGCCCAAAACCCCTAAATTGTCTAAACCCTAAGCCCTAAACCCCTAAATTTTTCCAAACCCTAAGCCCTAAACCCCTAAATTTTTCCAAACCCTAAGCCCTAAACCCCTAAATTGCCTAAACCCTAAGCCCAAAACCCCTAAATTGCCTAAACCCTAAGCCCAAAACCCCTAAATTGTCTAAACCCTAAGCCCTAAACCCCTAAATTTTTCTAAACCCTAAGCCCTAAACCCCTAAATTGCCTAAACCCTAAGCCCTAAACCCCTAAACCCCTAAACCCTAAACCCTGAAGCCTTTGAGGAGACCGGGGCGCTGGCCAAAGGAGAGGCCGGGAAGATCTGAATGATTTCCTGGCCCCATGCAGCGAAAAGCAGGGGTGGAGTAGAACCTTGCTTTGGGTTTTAGGGCTTAGGGTTTAGGGCTTAGGGTTTTGGGTTTTCGGGCTTAGGGTTTAGGGTTTAGGGCTTAGGGTTTTGGGTTTTGGGGGCTTAGGGTTTTAGGGTTTAGGGTTTAGGGTCTAGGGTTTAGGGTTTATGAGATAGTGTAGTATGGTACACTACAGGAATACCATCGCATATGAGCTCAAGAACAACTCAGCGGCAGCAAGGCCCAACAAACGGAAGGCCTCAAGGGAAATCTGAACGAGGAATCTAGCTTAATCGGGTTTTGCAGCTTTTTCTGAAGCCGTTCAAGAAAGGGACCTACCTTAAGTTAGAGGGTGCTTAATCTTATGATTTAAAGGTCTGTTCCTGAATTGAGGGGCATTGCGCTCTCTGGGACCCATAGGACACGACACGAAGAAAGCCATGCGGGTCTCCTCCAAGATTTCCTGAGCTGCGAGGTCACACAAGCACTGTATCGCTTGAGCATTTTGGAGGATCATGGGACCTACAATTGCTTATAACCCCGATGAAATTGACTTATAACCTTACTAAGTCCCCTGATCCTCCAAGCACGGCGAATTCCTGAGGATGGCTCCTCCCTGTGCAGCATGTCGTCACCACCGAAGACTGAACTTGGCGTCGAAAGCCTTGCAGCGTGCGTGTTTAGGCTTTGGTAGGGTCTACATGGCTTAAGGTTCAGGGTTGGGGCTCACGGCCGTACCAGAAACCCTAAACCCTATTTGCTAAACCCCTAAACCCTAAGCCCCTGAACCCCTAAAACCCTAAAACCCTAAACAAACCCTAAACCCTAAACCCCTAAACCCTAATCCCTAAACCTAATCCCTGAACCCCTAAGCCCTAATCCCTAAACCCTAAACCTTGGCTCGTTCCCACCTGTATTTCTCGAAGGTCTCCTTCTTCACCAGAAGCGCGAAAGGCTCCTTCCTTGTCCACAGAGCATGCGGTTTAGGGGTTAGGGAATTTAGGGGTTTAGGGTTTAGGGTTTAGGGTTTAGGGTTTAGGGGTTTAGGGTTTAGGGCTTCTCCGGGATTCTGGTTAAGGGAGTTAGTTTCCGTTACCATAATGGGGATCTACAGTACATAATATGGTCTCCCGATTATGGCAACTTAAATTAAATATGCCCTAACACGAACCCAGTCTCACGAAAAACCCAAGTAAGCCCTTCTCAGGTTGCGACTCCTTTTCCATGTGGCCCTGAGATTTCCCGAGCACGTGCAGAAGCGTTCGCTGAAAAGGCCGAGGCTCCCGCATAGGCTTTCGTAATGACTTCGAAGGCACCTGCTTTCAGCGTGTGTTCATGCGGGGTTGAGCGATTCGAAAGAGGAATTTCGGGGTGCTTTGAGCACGTCGGTCCTTCGGCGTAGTCTGGCAAGATTTCGAAGGGAACGCCCATGTTCTCCAGCATGGTGGGAGTCAGCGCCTCGGCTTGCCCTACCGCTAAAGACAAAGACGAAAATGAAGGGTCGCGAGGGGAAGACGCCCTGTAGAAGATGCTGCGGCTCGTCTTTCTTGCCTTGCAGAGACGAACTCCCCCACTAAAGCTGCACTCGCTTTCAGCTGTCTTGGCCTGGTTCCCCCCGCCAGCCGATAAGAAGCAGTGCAGGAATGGCATAAACCTGCACCCAGTTTACCGTTTACGCTTTAGGGTTTAAGGGAGGTGGACCAGCACAAACCACCGAAACAGATTCTTGCGCCTTCTTGCTGCACAGCGATAGTAGTGGATTGATGGTGTTCCCTAAGCCCGAGTTCTGGAGATAGACACACGCCTTATGAGGTCACGGGGACGCAGTCGTCCGACGGAGAAAAAACGATAAAAGTCAAAGGAATGCCCAGGCGACGCACGATGCTTCCAGTGGCCAGGTAATGGCCAGCCGCCATTGCCAGGGCAGTCCCTTCATTGGCGGCAATGACCTAAGCAAAGTTCTTAGAGAGAGAGGGAGAGAGAGAGAGAGAGAGAGAGAGTGAGAGAGAGAGAGAGCGAGCAAA